GGCCAGCTCAGCCCACCAGGGGGCGGGACTGGCTGGCATGTGGTGCTGGGGGATTGAACCGAGGTCCCTGTGCTTTGCTAAGCTTGTTCTAAGTAGGTACTTTAGACCACTGAGCCATCTCACCAGCCCCCAGAGGTGACAGCTTTAAAAGGTAGGAAATTCAACAATTACATTTACTGTACTGATTAAAGGGCCTGTATTCAGGTAACAAGAATTCTGTTGTTTTTACTAGGTATATATAGGACAGGTAATTTCCAGTTTTTGATACATTGTATTATTTCATGTTTATCAATGAATTGCATAAACTCTGATTCTTTAAGATACATGAAAAATTCTGATGAGTTTATTTGAACATCTAAGCTGTCTTCGATTGTGTAAGTACAAAAAGAGTAAGTACAAAAACCTGTTTGTTTAATTCAAATTTTGTCTATTGTTTAAATTCAGAGAAGTGAGTTAAGTGAGATATCGGGGAGCTCTTTGCTGGTGTTCCTTTATGCAGTCTGGTTCTGCTAATAGACATCTTAGAATGTTTTTCTGTGTATAGATACATGGAATACTAAGTGTGTGCCTTAGTAATACATACTTGTTACAATAAGTGAAGTCTAACTAGTAGGACTGACTTCTTTGAAGTTGCATAGTTGATATTTTGAGGCTTCCCACAATGGACAATTTTGAACTAATAAGTCATAAACATTGAATATCAAAACAAAACAAAACAAAACTCCTCTCTTTACACTTAAATCATCATCATGACTTTTTGTTCTGTCGTACAACAGCTGGGACAAATTAGGCAATCGATAAATAGTTATTGAAATGAAAATGAATTCCAATAAGCAGGGGCCGGGGAGATGGCTCAGTAGAATAAGCTCTTGCCTGGCAAGCGCAAAGGCCTGAGTTCAATCCCTGGTTCCCACAAAAAAAAAAAAAAAATCCAATAAACACATGAGTTGGGAGAATGGGGTGCATATGAGGTCACCCCCAACTCCCATCCATTGTGACACCTTCTGCACTTTGTTCCTCCTACTCCACCCTGAAGGAGTGTGCTCTTGGCTTTGCTCATTCTCTATGCCTTCCCTCAACATGTTCAGGATTAAGCAATTCTGAGCTAAGAAACAAAAGTGCAATTATCCCACTCTCCAATAGAGTTAGATGAAAACTGGTGATAAAATCAAATACAGCTCCAAGAGAAGAACTAACCAGGTCCTAAGGAATTGCACAACAAATGGTACATGTATTTATGATGATCAAGGCATTCATTTTAGTCCCCCCTCCCCCGAGTCTCTTAGGTACTTCCCTATTGTTTATTATCCCTAGTCCAATACTGTTCCAAAAATATGCAAAAGCTTTTTGCTCTGCTTACTTCAGTTCTTCATCCTCTTATGAAGGTCCTCATCTTTAGGCCCAGCCAGAGAACCTAAGAGGGTGCCTCCCTAATAAATGGAATGTTCTATCTCATGATATTAGATACACTATTAAGAGAGTTGTGGGCCTGCGAGATAGCTCTGTGGACTAAGTGCCTGCTTAGACAAACTGTGAAACTAGGGATTGATCCCTGGCACTGCATGCCCCACCAGCCACGCCCCCATGTGCACTGAACCGGCAACCGAGTCCAGGTGTGGTAGTGCATGCCTGTAATCCCAGCACTTGGGAAGCTGAAAACCAGGAGAGTCACTACAAGTCTGATCTATGTAGTGAGACCCTGCAGACCCTGTAAGACCCTGCAATAAATAAAAAAAAAGAGTTCACCACTTTCAAACATATTAGTCTATTATTTATTATATTTGATTTTCTCCTGCCACTAACACACATCCACCTAACTACACTGCACAATATTTGTACAAAAAGAAATGCAAATCAAAACTCCATGAGATACCATATCAGCCCAGTTAGAATGACTATTTTCAAAATCACAAATGCTGGCAAGTATGTTATATAAAAGGAACTCTGATACACTGTTGGTAGAAATATAAATTAATTAAATGACAGCAGAACACAATGAAGGTTCCTCAAAAAAGTAAGGTGTGTATAGTGCATAAGTTTATTTAAAAGTGTGTGGATTATGATTTGGTTGTCTTCAGACAGGGTCTCGCTGCACAGGTCAGGCTGGTCTTGACCTCACTCTGTAGCCCAGGCTGGCTCAAATTTACTGCTATTTATTGTGATCCTCTTACCTTAGCCTATCAAGTATTGGGATTGCAGGAGTTTACCACCACTCCCAGCTAGATTTTTATTTTACTTTCTACACTAACGCATCCTTCATTCCTGGAATTATGCCTTGTGTATCAATCTATACTTGATAAATATGTGTTAATTCAAAACTCCCCACAAGATTATTATTTGTATAATAATATACAAAAATATGTAATTTGATTTTTTTAAATCAAATATAACCACCAATCACAGAAAAGGTTACAGTTGTCTGTGTGTAGAACTCCTGTGTTCTGGCTCATAGCTAACTCACATAGAACTCCTGCTGATGTAGGTCTACAACCCCACAATGCATTCTACCTTAACCTGAATGTTTCTGTTTTAAACAACTGGGAATAAACCAGCCAGCCCTAGGAACCTCTGTGAAACCTGAGCTCCCTCTTTTTAGAAGCTAGACAGCAATGGAGTTCCACTATTTCTCATTAGGGACAGACAGTGACAAAGGAAGAGTTGCAGCAGAAATTATGTTTAATAAACCCTAGAGGCCTCGTTTATTTCTTAAAAAAAAGTGTCATCTTAAGAATATAGATGCATCTTGAACACTCAGATCACATGGGAAATACTACAAAGAATCAACAACTGGATCTCATCTTTTTTTTATTTCAAGGTTTAGTTTTGTAAAGGAATGAATTTCCAAAATAGTTTTATAATATAAATGCTTTTCTTTTTTAAAAAGCCACTTTTCCTTGCAAAGGAGCAGAACAAGATAAAATCACTTTCTTTCCGAGGCCAATACATATTTAAGTGACTATGATGTAGACATCAATAAATTTAATGAGCCATTATCAATGTTACTATTAGCTGCTTTAAAAACAAATACCTATATTTCACATTACTTTGTCAAAAATAAGTGTACCTTTTAGAAGCCAATCAACCTCATTTTATC